AAAATATATATATTTATCTAAAATTATTCCCAGATGTATTTTTATATGCAAAATAAATAAAAACTATGTTATTTTAACTTTTATATAGTGAAGGCTTGAAATGGAATTATATATTAAATTCAATATAAAAAATAAAAATTATTTATCTAACCATATAATTTTTTCTTTTGTTGTTGAATTACCAACATATCAAACAATTACGATCTGTTTCTTTTCAAAAAAATTAATTTTTTTTTAGTATTAAAAGTTTTTCAAACAATGTCTTGTAATTGAACTTCCCGAAAATAGGAAGAACAGTGCTACCTGTAAATGAAACAAAATAATCCTAAGAAGACATATCAAAGTACTGACAGAAAACGGTGGAAGCACGATTCTTCTTGTCCCTCCAACTCGCACGCCCCCAATTCCTTCATGAAAGCCTGCGTAAGTTCCATAGTATTCTAGCAACTTTATCCCCAGATCATATGGAGGCAAGACATTGCAATATTCCAAAAGAGTGAAAAATTAAGTTTTCACCTTGACACATTTCGTTCTTGCCTGGACCTCTTATTTCATGATCATGTTCTGAGATTTTGCAACGCACTTGGTGAGAGTGATAATCACAGAGCTTGTAGTGAGTTTTTACCTGCAATGTATCGCAGATGGTTAAGATCGGTGAATTCAGGTAAGACAAAAGGCAAGTAGCTGAAATCTCGAACCAAGTCAAGAAGAAATAAAAACTAAAAGACATTCCTTCATACAAGGAAGATGAACTCCATGCTCCTCGGATGAGGATGATGATTAACAATTTTAATTTCCATGCATAATTTTATTTGTGGGATTTATGTTACGTATAAGGATGAGATTTGTAATCTCCAAGGATCAAAGGCAACATTAAAAACCTTATGTCGAATAATCCAACAAACAAAACATTGTGAGCAATGTGATAGAAACGATCATACAATTGAAGAATGTCGAGTCCTCAGATTCCACTGCAAGTGTTGTGACAGGAGAGGCCATACTATGGATAGATGTAAATTTAAAAATAGAACATAGGTTCCCAAAGACACAGGAACTCAAGGCAGTAGGTACAGTCAATCCAAGCAACAACGTCAAGGGTTTAAAGGGAACACTAATCCTTGTGGGTCCTTTCCTGCCACCCACACAGCAAACATAGCTCCATCGTAATGGTATTTCTGCAGAGTAACTCCAACAATTAGCACATGCTATTTCTATGATCCAGAATGATGACCCACAGTATGAAGGATTGACTTCATCTAGCGGATAAAAGCTCACGGTATCAATAATAAAGCTTTTCAATTAATGTAAATGAATGCATGAAAAACCAGTAATTTTTGAAGCTGTACAAATGGTGCCCATATATTTTTTAAAACATAGATTCTCTTTTCAGTATGATTTTATCTTTAGAAATCCTGAGAGGATAAGCAGTCTGATAAGGTTAATTACTGCAAGTTAAACTCATTAGTTCCTCTGGTAATAGCAATGCTCATGCAAATATTTGCAGCAGGTTTGGCTACTTTTTTCATAGGTGATTATGACCTTGAACACGGGAAAAATAGCAATCCATATAAGATAAACTTTGGACGAATAAAACTAATGATAATATGCCTACCATATGCAGGAGCATTCACACTGAGGAAAGCTTTTCTTTTTGTTCTTCACAAACTTTTCAAAGACCATAGAAGTCGTTGTCTTATCATACCAACTCCGTCTCATATCACAAATTCCTAAGTATATGAATTTTCTTAATATGAAATATTATATAACAATTAAATCTACTCATGTTGAGTTTATTAAATGTAAATTATAAATAATTCTAATAAATACAAATCTAACCAGAGGAGTTGAGGGTTCAAATAAATTAAGAACTTTTATTCGGAAATATAATATGAAAACTTTGTCACAAGCTAATGCACGCCTTTTCGTCACCAAATACCTTTTGAGACGAGTCCTTTTCGTTGCCATGGCCCATGACTATCTCCATAACCTAATCGCGAAAGGTATTTGATTATGTAAATTGAATTTTGTTGCAAGATGCAATCTGAAATACATTAATTTGGTTTTCAATAATAAAGTATTTTTTATCTTATTTATTTAGTATTGTGATAATAATAATTTTTTAAATTTATTTAAAAAATACATTGATTTTTTTTAAATTAACACATTAAAATAATCTAAAAATATTAAAGAAATTAATTTAAAATAAAAAATAATTTTTTTAATACACTTTTAAATGCAAAAACTAACGATATCAAAACCTTGTTAAAGGATTATTGTTAATTGTCATTAATACCTTATAACCCGGAATTAACTAATTATATTAGTAGCTTGCAGTTAATTAAATTTACTCCAATTGTAAGGAGAGCTTATTATTAATAAGCAAAAAGCCTATTGATATAAAAACAAGAGAAAAAGGTATTTGAGTATTATAAGATTTGTCAATTCGATCGAAATAAATTGCCTTTAATTAACTAAAATAATGATGTGAGAATAAAAAACGACTACGACTATTTCATGACTCAATGACTTAACCTCAATTGAATTACATCACATATTCTCTAATACACGACAAGTCGTGTGATCACATGCCATATTATCTATTGCTTTTCAATATTTTAATAGGAGGTTTGAAGGAGTTGAGCTCAATAATGGGATTAGTTAATTAATTAATAAATTGTATTAATTAGGATTTATATATTTCTTCAATAAACTAAGCCATTAAATAAATAATCATTAAACTAAACAGATAAAGAAAAAAAATACCTCTATTGCTAACATACTCTATATACTCACAAGTTGCTGTGTGAACGATGACTATCTTCTTAATGTCACTTGCAATAAAGTGAAAAAAACAAATTTACACGTTTTTTTTAATACTCCACCACCGGTGATTTTAACATGCATCTTGGTACCCTTATACTTAATATTAAAAAAATATCAAGAATTAAACTTGAGCATTGCCTATAAAATTAAGGGAATCTAACGAGTGTGGAGAAATCAACTGGGTGTCTCTTCCAAATTTGTTAAAACAATTTGTTTAATAGATATATTTTAGATCAAATTAAAAAAAATCTATTTATTTTTTAAGTTAAAATTAACTTTGTTGATATTTAATCTCTAACATAAATTTTTTAACATAAAATATTAATATAATTTAAATAAATTATAGATAAACAAAAAATTAATTTTAAAAAACTATTAGTTAACTTATTTTTGGTGAAATCTCATACTTCCTAATAGAACGTCTCTATATCACACATATAAAAGAAAAGATTTTTTTATGTATTATAAAATGAAAAGTTAAAAAATTAAAATTATATACAAAGAACATACAAGTTTTAGATGAGAGATCCTAGACAAAGTTGACTTTGAACTTAAACCTTCATACAAGTATACTTAGGTCGATCCAAGATGCGCTATTAAACTTTTAAAAGGAATACATCTCCTAAACAAAAAGAGCATTGAGTTTAAACTCATACACAAACATATATGCACTCTAGTTTTTAGAGAAAAAGGATTCAAAATAAAGTGGATTTTGAGCTTAAACTTATACATATATGTGTACATGTTGGCTTGGGTTTGGGCTTCAGGTTGGTCCCGGGTGTGAATTTGAGTTTTTTATAAAATAATAATTTAGGCTCTAAAAATTTATTTTTTGCTTACTAAAATTTGAACTTAACCCTGGTCTATGAACAATTATTTCTTCCAACTTATTATTTATGTGGTCAAGCATATAAAGGTTAATAATCTTTTCCAAAAGCTTTTTTAACAAAACTTGAATAGTTTTTTAACTAAAAAATCTAGATTTATTGTCAAAATATTAAGGTTTATTTTTTTTTATGGTGGCTAATCAAAAATTGATAATGGTGAGAATTTATTCTGATTTTTATCAAAATTAATAATTTAATCTTTAAGCTTTTAAAATCACTATAAACAAATGAGGGGTGAAGGAAGAATTTCTAATAAGTTTTTTTTAAAACAATTTATACACTCTTCCTCATCTTATTTTTAGTGTTTTTCTTCTCTTTTTCTGCTTTGATTTTTCTTTTAAATTTATAGTCGAGGTTCACTTTATTGAGAGATAATTAAGTTCTTTTAATTTGACTCAAAGATCTTATTTAGAAGTGTATTTAAGTGTTGTTGAAATTTTGAGAGATGTATTGCAAATATTTTAATTGTATAATGAGATGAGCAATAAAAATTTAAAGACAAATAATTTATCATTGATAACAATAAAAGTTTCATTACTTTAAAGTGCTTCAATAAATAAATTTTTTATTTTAATTTAAATAGAGATATTATTGTTTTTATTAATATGTGATTTGATATCAATTACAAGTTTGAATACATGATTAATATTAATATGTATATTAAAATTTTATAATTATATTTATGTTGAAAGTATGCTTGCCATGGGTTTTTATTTTGCATGTTTATAAATTTAAATTTGTATGAGTTATAAACTTTTCTTAAAATATTTTTATTTAGCATATCTTTTTTTTTTTGAGAAATTAAACAATATTTCTTAACTTTTTGAATTACAACCCAATTCAAAGATGGTTAGGTCAAAACCAATGAGATTTTAAAAAAAAACTAAAAAAGTTATTTTAATTGTAAATAAAATCAACTTGAATAATTGATTCGATGACATTTCGGTTTGCACAAAAACATGATAACATGAGCTCTTTATAGAGTCACGCTCAAGCCAAATCTCACAACTATGGATTAAAGGAATAGGAATGGATACGTTGTAATATCAACATATGAAATTTTCTCAAAAAAATAAATCAATATTCGATTAACCTTAGTCTCAAAGATATTCTAATTTCAATTAGATGTGCATTTACTGAGGTCCCTGGAGACATAGATATAAAAAGAATGCAACTTGCATGTTTAGGTAGGTGGAAGGTCAACAGCCTTACAGCCATTTTCTTAATTAAGAAACAAAGAATGAATTAAACTTTGATTATTGCCTATAAATGAAGGGACTATACCAGAGTTGAGAGACAGGAGAACTCGTACGTACTAGCTTGTACTGAAGAGCACAAGAGAGAAGACAAGGGTCGCGGGAGAATCGGTATAGCATCCAGAAAATCAAGTGCCTTCGCTTCTTAGACCAAGGTACTTGGGTTCTTTGTGCACTAGCTAGTTTTGTTTCCTTGCTGTTCATGTTCCTTTTTCCATTAATTTTGGCCCCAAAACAAGGAAATGATTCCTTGCATGATTAAATCAATTCCATGAGATTTTCACAAATTGAACCCCCAAGTACTGCCATACCGATTATCAACTTGTTGCTTGTTTGTTTTAGCACCTTCTCCTTCTGCTGCTTAATTGAAGTTAATCCCATTACTAGTTAATTACAGTTGTTTATTTGTCACATGATCAGAAAGCTTCAACAAATGGGAGACATCGGTCAATTAGCAAGGCCTATAAGTCGAATCGAAAATTTGTGCCAGGAGATTTTAATTCAAATTCCAGATGAGTTGGAGAGTAGCTTTCGGTCTGAGCAATGTATCTATAGAGTTCCTGCTGCACTTCGTGATTTAAATAAAGCTGCCTTCACTCCTCTAGTAATTTCTATCGGCCCTATTCACCATAATAACAAGAAACTGAAGGCTATGGAAGTTCAGAAACGGAGATATCTGAAAGACTTTTTCGAACTGCGAGTGGAAAAGGGGAAAAGAAGAATACTTTTGACTGCACTTTTGAGCACCATTTCAGAAAAAGAAGTCGACATCTGCCGTCGCTATGTAGCTGATACCTCCGAGTTTAACTCGAAGCTTAGCGGCGATCAGTTTGCGAAGATGGTTCTGGTAGACGCTGTATTCATCTTCGAGCTCTTCTTGAGGAATGAAGAATACCTGCGTGATAACAGCAAATATCAAGACGATTTTATAATAGGTAAACCCTGGTTGAGAGCCGCGATTCGAAGAGACTTGATATTGCTTGAAAATCAGCTGCCATTCTCAACTCTTAATGAATTATATGAGCTTGCGACGAGCACAGCCGATTGCTTTTCTCTCATGGATCTTTCCTTCCGGTACTTTGAGAAGTACAAAAAGAAATCCAAGCCCAGCAAAACAATACTACATTTCACTGATTTGGTGAGATGTTTTCTATCCTTCAAGCACCCGGATTTAAAATTAGAAAAGGGAGGGCCGATAAAAACACTTTATAGCGCAACCATGCTGCAGCAGGCAGGAATTAAGTTCAAGGCGTTGCCAGACGAATCGTTGCTTGACATTAGAGCCTGGGAACCTCTCTCAAAAGAGGAACGGATCTTAGAAAAGAAAGGTGAGTTACATATGCCTCCCCTTGAGATCGACAACAACACCGAATGTCTCCTCCGAAACCTCATGGTGTTCGAGCAGTTACATTATCCAGGAGAAGAGCACATTTGCCGTTACGTTAAGCTACTAGATTCTCTCGTGGACGTCGACAAAGATGTCTATTTGCTCATCGAAAATAAAGTTATTATTAGCAAGCTAGGTGACAGTGATGCTGTGGCGAAGCTTATTAACACGCTTTGCCGAGAAATGGTAGAAATATCTTCCAGTTTCGATCCCCTCTCCAAACTGCTGAATGATTACTATGAAAGCTCCTGGAACAAAAACAGGACCTACTTGCTAAGTGTGTACTTTAAAAATGTTTGGATAGGCACTGGAACTGTTGTTGGATCTCTCATCTTGGCCATCGCTGTGACACGGTTCATCCTATACTTTGTACGCTGGTCTTTAAGTTCTTAGAAAAGAGAGGCTTGAATCCAAACCTTTTAATGCTATTTGTGCTAGATTCTTATGATTTACTTGCTTTGATGTTGTTTAAAGTTTGTGACATAAATTATTATTGAACTTTATGGTTAATTAATTATTGTTTGCACTATTTCTACATCGTACATCAATAAGTCTCTATGGCGTGACAATATCCATATTTATTTAATAGAAAAGTGATATGACATGGAAAAAAGAGAGAATCACGTACAATTTCACAAAAATAATATAAGAACATTTAACATATTTAGTTTTTTTAATATCATTTATCTTGATTTTATATTCTCCTTATATCTATATCTATTTTATTGAATAAATATTAGTAATTATAACTTAGCATCACAAAATTTCTCAAAAGTTTTAAATAAAAAATTTATTATTTTTTCTTCTTACGAAGTTAAACATACGGGGGAGAAGACAAATGGTTTTGGTTGTTAACTCAACTCGCATAAAAAAAATCAAAACTAGGGGCATTAATAAGATTTTTTTTATATTTAAAAATTTGATGGTTTAATAGTGATTATTATGAAAAAATAATATTTAAAAATTCTTGTAAAAATTTAAACATAATTAAACAACTAAATAAAAAATTATAGTTTTTTTAAATTATTATTCTACTATGATATGATCAAACATTCTTGTAACCTTAAATATATTTTATTGGTTCATAAATATATCTTATTAAATTATTTACATAATTTTTTAAAAATAAATATTTACTTATAATCACTCATTTTCACATCAACTACTACATCATGTATACCTTCACTAGGTCTGCATTTCAATTAATTGTTTTTTGACAATTTGTTTTCTATTTATTCATGACAATGAGCTCAATGTTACTTTAATCTACTGTTTTCATCCGAAATGTCTTTTCCTCGTTTTCAAGTCTGTATTTTAAATGGACAAAGCTTGACCCAAAGACTAATTATGGAGGTCACAAGTCAATGCTATAATATATTATTCTCATGGAAAATTCGAACCACAACTCATCATTTCGATGTCACAATTGAAAAAAAAAAAAAACCCTAATCATTGAGCTGCCTAATTTAACAACTAGGGTTTAATCGCTCGGGCTTCATCAGATGAAATGATTATCCAGGTTGGCATTTGAAACAAGTAATATATATATACTGCTCCACCTCATCTGAACTCAAAGAATCATCACTAAACTCGCACTAATTAGACAAAATTGTTTGAAAAGTAACTGCACGTAACAAATGGGTAATCAAATAATTTCATGCATGAAAATGTTCAAATTAAGATTTCTAAGAGAGACACCTGGAAAGAAGAAAGCCTAACTATATAATAGCTAAGAAATAATTCGCTGTCATTTTTTTATTTTTTTTATTTTGTTAGAATAACAAATCCCATATGGAATATATAAAGTTGAGAATATATCACCCAAATTTATGTTAAGTAGCATATCAAATTATCTAGTAATGAATCGATGTGTTATTGTTAATAAAATCACTTACATATATTACCATAATAATTAAAAGTATAACTTAAATTGAATAATTTCTTTAGAAAATTAAATAATTTTCTCAGAAACTAAATGAGCTCCTTGAAAAAAAAATTCTTTAAAAAATACCAAATATCATAAAAGATATTTAAAAACTAAGTTAACAAATATATTTTTGGTTTCAACTCCTTGCTGTGTCGGGAGAGCCTGAATTGATGTTTTGGTTTTCTTTTGATTTTCCATTTATAAACCATTACGTAAATATTATAAAGAATAAATCTAAAAATAACAAAATTTCATTCGATTAATTAGCTATGTAAGCTGCTCGAAATGGCCTTAGCTAAATCCAAGAGGGTGGACAGAACATGTGATTAATCATAAACAATTGCAGTAAAAGGCACCAGCTGCTAAGCGGAAAGTCTTCATGGTTAGGTATCTTGACAAGACGATTGTGATTTTGGCATTTCCTGTGTTCATGCTGTTGTTTTTCTAATTTCCACCGCTAGCTTTTGAAGGTTGTTGATAAATATAGGCTACAATTTACAAAAAATCAATAATTATCTTTACTCAAAATGATTTTATATTACAATTAAACATATGCTCTTGAATGAAAGATATTTTAGCTTAAAATATACCTAGTTCCATATTAGTTATTTTATGCTTAATTTATTAATTTAATTAATTATTTAGAATGAAGTTGATGAGTTCCAACTTGTAATCCTTTCATCATTAAAATTCAGATATTATATAAAAAGCTGAGATATACTGAAAAATTCACTGTCTGTTATTCATAAACGAGTGTTTATATAAAGCATATACAAAAGTAATCTTAATAAATGTGTTATAGTTGTATAATTAGTAAGCTCTCTAAATTAAGAAAGTGAGAATACAATGGGCTGGAGATATTACATTTCATAGCAGATCTCGTGGCTTGATGTTGCGTTGATTTGGAGAAGCTGTGATCATGAAGATATTGATCTGCAGAAGCTGTAATATGGGAGCTGTGAACATGGAGGTGTTCATCTGCAGGAGCTGTAATAAAAAATTATATGGGTTTACAGAAGGCTCTCTCTCTCTCTCTCTCTCTCTCTATCTCTACACACACACATATACACACACACACACACACACATATATAACCCGATTAAGATTTGAAACTTCAACTAATTAATTCTCCGGGGAGTGGATTTTATAGGGTGATTATTTTTTATTTTATTTTATTTTTATTTATAAAAATAATTAAATTAAATTTTTTAAAAATATAAAAAATCCAAAACCAGTTTAAACTCATCGCTTTTGGTTCCATTTGTTAAGTTGTTTTAGAATAAAAACTGAAATCAGTAACCGGTTTTGATTCATTTCATTTATTTTATATTAAAAATAAAAAATTATATTGTTTTTTTGATTTATTTATAATTTTTTATGGATTTGATTTTGATTTCACTTAGTTTTTTCAGTTTGATTTTTTTATTAATTTTAGTTTTGTTTCTTGGTTTAGGTTTATGAAATCAAATCAAATATTTTTAAAAATATCTTAATTGATTTAATTATTTTTTAATTTTTTAATTTTTTCAGCTTAATCAATTTTTAAATTTTTTTACTCACCCCTATAATTTCCTATAATTTATACTACCAAAGTCTTCAGCGAGTAGAACTTTTAATTTGGATACATATCGTGTGACTGAAGCATAAATTTAACTAAATTAAGGCCCATTAGTTGTTTCAATGAAACACCATATTTCATAACTGTATATAAAATTAAGGCCCATTAGAAAGGAGAATAAAACATTAAAAAAATTTAAAAATAGGTTACTCTTTTTTTTAACATATGGTTATTTATACATCACATACAAATGATATAAAATAAGTTTCTTAAATCAACCCTAATTAAACTATATAGTAATTCATTAACACTTTATTTTGTCTATCAAACTTGTAAGAATATTTAAAAATATGAAGGAACTATTGGTTATTGTTGTACATTAACTTTGATTCCTTTCTATAAAAGTATTTATATCTTTTGTTAAACTTTACCTCTTATAAAAGTACATTTAAGTGAAAACATAGCATAAAATTTTTATTCGTGTCTATATTTTTAATATTCATCTTAAATATGTTTTTTATTTAATCTTTAAATAAAAGAATTTGTAAAAATTATAATGCTAATATAATTTATGTACTTTTTTCAACCATAGTCGCATCTTCCTCCGAAGTTTGCTCCCCCTCCAATACCATATCAATTTTGTTTGTCTCAAACCAAGTCCTCCGCCATAGCAGGTGGCTCTAGTGGTCTCGGAGCTTGGTTGTTGTTGAAGTTTTGCAGCTGCTCTCTGTGCTTCTGCATGCCCTCCTCTGTCATCCCCTCCATTCGTGATCTGACTGCGTATGTGTTGAGCTTGAAGCTTGGTTGTTGTGATGGATGTCGGTTTGACTGCCTCATTCTTTCCAGCAAAACGGACTTAAGTGCCTGTTTAGCATTCAAGAAAGGTTTAAAAAACACAAGCTTTTCCCAATTCAATTGTCTTTGCCCCCTCTCTGTCTCTCTCCGAACATAAATGGTAAAAAATAGAAACAAGAACACAAAGGGCAAGGGGCAAAATCTAATTCATTTTCGATCAAAACAAGATAACCGGTAACCCCAACTTCTTTTTTTCTTGTTTTGGGATGAATTTGGTGAGTGTTTTTTCCTATTTCTGCCATTTGTGCTTTTTTTTTCCTGAATATGCTAATTTGTTTGGATTTTTTTTATTTGTTTCTGGTTTTGTTTAACACAAAGGGCAAAGTGAGCAGCCCGATGATGCATTACAAAGTCAGAGGAGAGCAAGCCACCCGATGATGCTTTACAAAGTCCAGGATTGTTTGTGCAGATCTTAGCTGGGATATATCTTTTGTAGTAAGGTTCTGAAAATTTAAACGAAAAAACAGTTTAAACATTTTCAATAGTAGCCCAGATCCGCCCTTGCATACCGTTACCTTATCAATAGGAGCCTCATATGGATCGCAATTCGGATGCCGCCATTGATGCACTATGAGATAATAGTCTGCCACCATCCATGGACCTCTGAATAATGCATAATAACGATCCTCCAAATTGGAATGCTTGGCCGAAAAAAAATCATTCCCCAAATCAACCAACACCATATCTCCCTGAATTTCCTATAGCATTTGGAGTTTACATCAAATATGAGTATCCAGTCCTCCTTCCCGTAAGTTTGGCAATCAAGGTTTGACGCCAAGGTTCTCTGATGCGTCGCTTGCCCTCGACACTCAACTGAATTAATGGGCAATCATCATCATCATCATCTGAAACGTATTCATCATACTCATTATCGCATGTTATCCTCTGATCTGTGTGACTATCTCCCACTAGACAATCCTTGTAGCTTAAGTTTCCTAAAGTTTCTCTCCCAGCAGCCAAACTATCAGGACTAGTTTCCTCCACTAGGCGGCGTTTTCCATTGTCCACTTTAACTTTCTTATTGGAACGTGATTATAAATCTGCCTCTTCAGCTGAAATCCCTAACTTCATTGGTCCCCTAAAAAAAATCAACAGTTAGTTAAGCGCTGCTCATATCATAGTTAAGATAATTAAAATTATGTGAAGCATATCATGACTAATTAAACATGTATATAATTATCTTACTAATATAAAACTTGGGGTACTGAAATCATTTCCTTCTTCTTTTCATGATTTAATCCTTCTTCATTTTAAATTTATCTTAAGAAATTATTTTGATTTTCTTTTTATAAAGTTATAATAGTATCAAATAAATATTAAAATATTTGATTTGTATTTAATTTAATTTTTTATCATATAATTAAGTAAAAAATAAATTTTAAAAAATAAAATTGTTAACCCATTAGAATCAATCACCGGAATCACAGATCTAGCTATTGAATTAAGCCACCTAGACAAGATTGATCTCGTAATTTTAATATTAAAAAAAATTATTTTAAATGTATTTTTTAAAATCATAGAACTTTTTTTTATCAATTTTATGGATTATTATTGGACCCACAATGGGTAATATTAAAAAAAATTATATAATTTAATTTTAAATTAAAATTAAATAAAAAATCATACAAAATTCAAAGTTATCTTTTAGATTAAGTTCGGCAATAATATTAAATATTTTTTTATAAAAAAAATATGTTAAATCTTCTTTTTATTTCGAACGTAGCGTAGCATGGCTATGTAGACTGGTGCCACCCTAATTAAAGAGGATCATCAATACATGGCCCCTGATGACCATGAAAGCGCAGCACCGCCCACATAATTCAAGAGGTGATTAAATTATCTTCACTGGTCGCTACGCACAGGTGCGCTCTATGGTCAGCTCCTGTCGACATTGGAGCCCTTTTTTCCTCGAGTGAGAAATTCAATTTTTTTTTTTGATTTACGTGGAGTGTCCGGGCCAGTTTGCGCGCACCACGACTAATCCTCACGGCCCACTGAATATTCTGCAAATCCAGTAGGCATATAAAGCACCACGAGGATAACAGACGTATACGCTAGGGCTTGAACTCAGGTGTAGTGAAATGAGACAAGTTTCTTCTACCGCTAAACCAAACCCTAGTTTGCAAGTGAGAAATTCAATCTTTCCATGGCGGAACGTCGTTGCATCCAACAATACGATGTTACGATAGAAAATTAATGTAATGTAACAGCTGGAAGCAAGAAAATTTATCAAACGTCCGCAGTGGATAATAATTAGAAACAACTTCTCTTGTATGCAGCTGTATTTTAATGGAAGAGGAATAGTTCATCCAAGTGTTCTTGAACCCCGCACTTGTATACGAGTTAACTTGGTGATCACTTAATTTAATTTTTGGTTTAGACCGAGTTTAGAAAAAAGTCAAACATGAATTGATTTACTTTAATCCGGTTAATTTGATGAGTAAACTTGTGATATAATCCACAAAATCAAAATATAATAATATCATTTTAACAAAAATCTTAAAATTATCTTATTTTTAATTAATTCAGTTTAACTGTTCAATTTATAATTTAGACCTTATGTTAAACTACGAGTTAAACCAAATTTTATGAGTTTAATTCATGTTTATATTCTTTATAATCATTATAATAATTATGAAAATTTAGTAACTTATGAAATCTTCATGCTTTTCTTTTTTAATGAAAAAGATATGATTTAAAAAAAATTAATTGAATACCTAAATCTCTGAAGCCACAACAAAAAAATTATTTAAATAATATTTTAGAATTTTTTTAATTTTACTATTCAATTATATCATTTTATTTTTTTACTTTTTTTAATTTTATCCTTTAATATTAGGTTGTCTTAAAATTATGTTTCATGCTTGTTTCTATTTTTTCTGTGAAATTATATATTAATTCTCATGAAATTAGTTTTTTTTTCTTGATTTCATCTTCCAATATTAGATTTATTAGAAGAAAGGTTTCATAATAATTTTTAAAATATTTTCTATGAGGTTATTCTAATATAATGACTCAAGTTATAAGTTTCACAACTTTACCTGAATTGACTCAAATTATTTTTTGTTATTTTTTTAATTTAATATTTTTTTTTTAGTTTTGTTGGATTGATTAAGAATTGACCTTCATAATTTATATTAATTTTTTTTATAAGATTATCACAATCTTATAATACTATTTTTTTCTTTAATTTTCCTCTTTTTTTTTTTTATTTTTTAAATTCATTTTCTTTTAGATTTTAGCCTCCAACACTTAGTTTGTTAGAAAATAAATTTGGTGATTTTTTTTTTAAATTGCCTTTTTATGGGATAATTTTATTCTCAAAACTCAATTTACATGTTTAATGGGTTTACCCAAGTTAACATAAACTATTTTTTTTAAATTAATTTTTTTTTATTTTTATTCTTTAATATTTTTGGTTAATGAAAATTAAACTTTCTAATTTATTTTTATTTATTTTTTATAAAATTATTATGCTCTTATAATTTGAGTAATAAATTTTACAGGTTAATTAAAGTCGGTCTAAATAGATTTGACATATCATGTCATCATCTTAATATTTTTTAAAAATATCATTTAATATATTATCATTAAAATAAATTAAAAATATATACTGTACAATTATATCATAATTTTAATTCATTATTAATTTTTTTTATGTTAAAACAAATAATTTGTAACACATTTATATATTTTTTTCATTTAAACAAAAAATTAAACTTCACAATGTAGCGATAACCGAGAAACTAGTCTTTAACTACTCGACGTAGAGAGCCCCTTTCTATTCCTGCGTCCCGTTGCAGTCCTTTTAAAGTTTGAATTTAAAATCAACTGTTAAAAATTCCAAGTCTTAACCAATGAGATGTTTTCATGGAACATCTTTTCACAACTTTCAAAATCAAATTAACTATTTATCTCTATATTAAAAACACATTATATTTTGATAATTAAGTATCCCTTAGCTTTTCATTGTAATTCACATCCAAATAGATTTAAACCAATTATTTTTTTTATTTTTCATTCTTCCTTAATTAAATCTGGTTTGAGTAGTGATTGAAAGAAAACAACATAGATTTAAACTAATTATTTTTATTAAAACAATTACGTTTTATTTTATTTTATTAAAACAATTACGTTTTATTTTATTTTATTTTTATAAGACATTCTATCATGTTTAGCTGGATTAATTAAATTATTAAAATTCATTTAAATCAAATCAAATCCAAAACTTCTATTTGTAAGCTTCAAAATCTTAAACTTTCTAAATTAATATATATTAGTACGAGTTTAATAACTTATCGATATGCCCATGTCACTACCTCCACAATCACAAGTTAATAGTGTGAAACTCTGAATAATTTCAATCTCATGCAAATGGCTGAAAATACGTGTCACGTATTAGGCAATAGGGGCGTCATCGCCATTTGAAAACCACAATATCGCTATTGATTACCATACACGGCCATCAAACCCCCGAAGTTATCGCTCCAGCCGACCATTTGACCTGAGTATGTTTTTTTCAAAGGGTCGTTCACCAACCGCTGTACACGTGGTATGATGTTCCAATTTCTGTTCTCTACAAAAAAAACTTTCAATCCATTCTCACTCTCATGAATAACAATGCATGGCCACTGTTCTATTTTAAAGCTTTGGCCCTTTCAGGTTGTGAGCATTTTGCGCTAGTAGCCTGCTAACTAGTGCTAAGCTGCTGACATGGCTGCTTGTTTGGTCGTTTTTCTCTTGGTTTTAGTCGGCCCTGGGGCTAGCGCTAGCTGCATTGGTTTGGGTTCAAGATTGGTCGCTCGTGATCAAAATGAAGCATGGGTTTCAGATAATGGCACTTTTGCCTTTGGTTTCGCTTCAGCGGCTACTGCTCGTGACAAATTCCAAGTGGCAATCTGGTTCGTAGATCTTCCTGGTGATCGAACCTTGGTCTGGTCAGCTAACAGGTACGCTTGCTTATGCTTATATTTATACCTGATGGTCTAAGAATTTGTTTTTGTTTAAAAAGGAGAACCTTGTACAAGTCCCAACGCTATACATTGTTTTTATTTGAGTTAATTCCTAAAATAATTTGTTTCAATTGGATCCTTAATATATCAGAAATCCTCAATCGCATCCCTTGGGATTTTCTTCAAACCTCGTCAGGTTCTATGTTCACTATAATTTTCATGTATAGTTTTGATTTCATGAATTAATTGATGTTATTTTGAAGAGAACTTGACATATTAGAAAAGTTAAGATGATTTTAGATGGGAAGACTTGGAAGTTTAAATGGAAATCGATGTATAGTTTCGAGAATTATATAAGATAATCTATCAAGAAAATTTGAAAGCAAAAGTCTGACGTTCTTGGTTATTTATATGAGCAGAAAACAAAAGAAAGATAAATGGGCGATATATATGTATGGTTTCTGCAAGCTTTAAAAGAGTTTATGCTTGTATTATTAATGTATTAAATCAGTATTTATAAGTTGCAGAGTCCATGAAGATCTGTTATAGATCATTAATGGCACTGAATCTTGACAAGGGAAAAAAGAGAGAGAAAAATCAAAGACATTTCTCCTTCTTTAGTCTTCACAGAAGCTCTTGCAGGTGACAATTTCTGAATTTGCTCAGTGATAATCTAATATATAGAAACTCTCTGGTCACCAAAAACGCATTCCTGGAGCTGGACACCACCGGCAACCTAGTCCTAATAGACGGGTACAGAACAGTCTGGATGTCAAACACCTCCGACGCAGGCGTTACATCAGCAAGCATGGAAGAAACTGGCAACTTCATCCTCCACTCTAACTCCAACCACTCAGCATGGCAAAGTTTTGAACACCCTTCTGATACTTTACTTCCAAACCAGCCTTTAACAGTATCTCTTGAACTAACATCAGTACCAAAATCACCTTCACAAGGTGGCTATTACTCTCTCAAAATGTTACAACAGCCCACTTCACTAAGCCTTGCTTTAACATATAACTTGCCTGAAACCTATGATGCTGCACCTGAAACTTATGCAAACTATTCCTACTGGCCTGGGCCGGACATTTCGAATGTTACGGGGGATGTGGTTGCGGTTTTAGATGAAGCAGGAAGCTTTGGAATTGTGTATGGTGAATCATCAAATGGAGCAGTTTATGTGTATAAAAATGATGGTGACTATAATGGATTAGGTTTCGCTTCAAGTCAATCAAGTACTCGGTTATCAGTTCTTCGAAGACTAATTCTTGAGACTAACGGAAATTTGAGATTGTATAGATGGGATAACGATGTTAATGGTTCGAGGCAGTGGGTTCCAGAGTGGGCTGCAGTGTCAAACCCTTGTGAGATTGCTGGAATATGTGGTAATGGGGTGTGTAATTTGGATAGAAGCAAGACTATTGCTTCTTGTTCATGCTTGCCTTGTACTTCCAAGGCAGGAGGCGATAACTTCTGCTCGGAGAACTCATCGTCGATTGGAAGATGTGGTTCGAGAAACGCAAATCAGACATCTGAGTTCAAGATTGCAGCAGTGCAGCAAACAAATTACTATTTCTCCGATTTTTCGGTGATTGCAAACTACAGTGACATTCCTACAGTGTCAAAGTGTGGTGATGCTTGCCTATCAGATTGTGAGTGTGTGGCTTCTGTTTATGGGCTTGATGATGAGAATCCTTATTGCTGGATACTGAGGAGCTTAGACTTTGGTGGATATGAGGACCCTGGATCCACCTTGTTTGTGAAGGTTAGAGCGAATGAATCGATGACTCTAGGAGGCAATAAAAGTGGGTCTGATAATAGTGATACAAAAAGGAAGGTTTTGCTTGTACCTATAGTTCTCAGCATGACATTTCTTGTTGTCCTCCTATGCCTATTACTATATCACAATGTTCACAAAAAGAGATCCTTGAGAAGAGCTATGGAAAGCTCTCCTATTCTTCCTGGCGTTCCAATACATTTTACTTACCGAGGCTTGCAAATTCGCACCTGCAATTTTTCACAGCTGCTCGGAACAGGTAAATATTGATCAGAAATGATGCCATGTCTACTAAAGAAACAGAGGAATTGAAACAGAGGAAATTTGAGTCAATTGAGCTTTGTTTATGATTTTATGCATGCTATCGCTGTGTTGCAGGAGGATTTGGGAGTGTATACAAAGGAAGCCTTGGAGATGGAACTTTGGTTGCTGTAAAGAAACTAGACAAGGTTTTGCCTCATGGGGAGAAAGAATTTATAACTGAAGTGAACACCATAGGCTCTATGCACCACATGAACTTGGTTCGTCTTTGCGGGTACTGCTCCGAGGGATCGCATCGGTAAGAAATGTTTCTCAGAAAACAGTTTGGTCATTTCAATGTGTTGAAGAACCTCAAATGTCATTGGTTCATCCAACATTCTTCAGATACTATGAGTCTAAAACATGGTTTATTTGTTCATTGGCATTGGCATGCAGTCTCCTAGTTTATGAGTTTCTGAAAAATGGGTCTTTAGACAAATGGATCTTTCCATCATATAGTTTCCGAGACAGACTGCTGGATTGGTCAACGCGCTTCGATATAGCCATAGCTACTGCGCAAGGGATTGCATACTTTCACGAACAGTGCAGGAACCGGATAATTCATTGCGATATCAAGCCAGAGAACATTCTGTTAGATGAGAACTTCTGTCCTAAAGTATCAGATTTTGGACTAGCTAAGTTTATGGGAAGAGAGCATTCACATGTTGTTACCATGGTTCGAGGAACAAGAGGGTATTTGGCTCCAGAATGGATTAGCAACAGGCCGATTACTGTAAAGGCTGATGTTTATAGTTATGGGATGCTTCTTTTGGAGATTGTTGGTGGAAGGAGAAACCTCGACATGTCTTTTGATGCAGAGGACTTCTTTTACCCTGGGTGGGCTTTTAAGGTGTCTAAATTAAGTTTTCTCCCTCAACCCTACCTACAATGAGTGCTTCATGGCAGTAATTCTTGTTTAATCTGATCATTTCTTCAATGGACTTGTGCAGGCGATGACGAATGATACGCCACTGAGAGCAGCAGATCGCAGACTGGAAGGATCAGTAAAAGAAGAAGAGCTAATGAGAGCACTGAAAGTGGCATTTTGGTGCATTCAAGATGAGGTCTTCATGAGACCTTCAATGGGAGAAGTGGTGAAAATGCTAGAAGGATCAATGGATATCAACACCCCGCCAATGCCACACAGTTTTGGAATTGATAGAAGAAGGCTTAGAACAAGTTTACAAGGCCATGAAGAGAGAATTCAATCAATATAGCTCCTTCACCACTGCTACTGATCTTCCATCATCTCGTGCTACATGCAGTAATTCAACAATGTCACCTAGATAGGGAAACCGACACAATTTTGTTTGTGCAGTTGATATCACTCGGTTCATTTAAGCTCTAGCCTTTTCATGTTGCAGATGGAGCCGCCTAAGACAAAAAAATGAAAGATACAAGAAAAAATAAAAAAACATGTTTAGTTAGAAAAACAAACATATAAAATAAATTTGTATTTGAGACAATTTTACAATGAATTTTTATTTTTTTAATTTATATTTGATATAAAATAAGTAGTATGAGACATCTTCATTTTATTTTTTTATTTATATTTTTATTTATTTATTTTGAGACAGTGTTCCAATATTATTCTAAAAACAAACCAAAACATTTCTAACACAAAAAAAAAACTAAGCAATTTTCTTTTTCACTAAAATACATTACTAAAAATAGAGCTAATAACATTATCATCAATTGCCATTAAATCTTTTTTTTTTTTACTAGAAAGTAGTTCATCACAATGATTTCATAGATGGGGATCATGTCTCAAGATAGCATGTAAATAAATTGAATATATCATACTAATTTTTATAATTTTTAAAGTCCAAAATTTTCATAATATTAATATTAGAAGATGATCTAATGTTTAGAAATATGTTCATGGGTTTAATTTATTAAATTTTTTTAAATACACCAAGCAGCTGTAAAGGATATATTTTTGAATTCATCTAAAAAATAATTTAATTTCAATCAATTCATAATAATATTCTTTTTTCTGTCAAGAAAGGGAAAAAAAACACCTTTTAAATACTATGCTTAGAATTTTTCAAATTACAAGATTGACCTTGAAAAAACTTAGAATTTTATAAAATTTGAAATCCAATTTCTAATTGGGCCTCATCTTATTACTGTATCAAAATCTCATTACAACCAAGCCCAACTCACTCTTACTGTGACCCAATTTCATTTTTTTTTATATGCATATTTTATGTTTTAAAAATATTTTTAAAAACTTTTAATTTTTAAATTATATATTAATATCAAAAATAAATTTTAAAAAATAAAAAATAAATTTTTTTAATATATTTTCATATAAAAAATACTATCCACGTTTCCAAACATCCCAAAACTTAACTTGAAAGAAACCATTTTTTCCGGTAGCAGTAGACTACTGTTTTAAAAAACTAGGGCTTTTAAAGAAGAAGCTCAGCCTAAAACCCCCACTCTCTCCGTGGAGGAAAATAAATAAAAATAAAAAGAAGAGAAGCACCGCGAGAGAGAGAGAAGCAGTAGAAATGGGTAGCGAACAGGACATGAGTAACTGGACTGATCTGCTTCACTCCTCTACTAAGCTTGTCGAACAAGCCGCTCCTTCTGCTCAGTTCCCTCCTCTTCAGGTTCTTCTTTCCTTTTCCTTTTCCTTCATGTTTTAAAATAACCGTTACAAAACTCTAGTTATACTTCTAGTCACCGTTAATCATCATTTTCTTTTCTTCTTATTCAGTAAAGGCGCAACGAAAAAGTTGAAAAAAATTATTTGAAAGCTCGATTTATTTAACATTGCGAATTTTTTCTTTCGTATTTGGAGAATTATACTGCCTTGTTTGAAGAAAAAAAAGAATTTTTTGCATTTGCGTTCAATTAAATTCCTTTACCGTTTTATCATTCATCAAATAAATATTTTTCTTGTGATTATTATGACAATTAGAAGTAGTGCATTTTGCTGTTTTATTTTAATTTCATGACTTTATATGTTTTTTTGTGTATGTTAAAGAGAAACTTAGATCAATTAGAAGCATTATCAAAGAAACTCAAGGCGAAAACTATAAGAACTGAGGCTCCTTCGCAATCTGTTGCCGCTACAAGGTTGTTTTTTCGGAGTACTTTCTCATTTTTTCTCTATCAATTTTTAAATATTGTTTTCTGTGATTTCTTGCCCCTTAGAGGCGGCATTTATTGAACTCTTGGGAGTGAGAAGAATCTTGAATGGGTCATGGGTGTGGTTTATTTGTATTGTTTGATGTATGCACAGGCTTCTTGCGCGTGAAGGGATAAATGCAGAGCAGCTTGCTCGAGATCTTAAGTCTTTTGAATTGAAGGTAAAATTTAGCTTGCATTTTGATTACCATTTATAACCTAGCCTCAGTAGAAGTAGTCATGCAAATTTATTTTTCTAAACAGTTGATGAATGACTGTAGAGTACAATAGTCTAATGAAAAACAAGTTTCTTATGTCTTATTGAATGAAATTAAGATTATAATAGTAGTTAGTTAATACGGCCTTGTTTCTGTAAGCATGCTTATCTTGCTTTTGGAAACTATTTTGTAGACAACATTTGAGGATGTGTTTCCCGCCGAGGCAACAAGTGTTGAAGAGTATCTACAACAGGTAATTTTGCTGTTTAGTTATGATTTGATCAACAGATCTATGATACTGTTGATATTACTGTCTTCAACTCTATCATCTGTTTTTGTTGGCATAGATAATATTTTTCACTGCTATTCTGTTGACTTTTCAAATGTGTTGTTACATATTCTGTTAAATTTAGTAATGGGTTGTACCAAAGAACTAAAACATGAGCACATAATCATTCTGTTTGCTACATGCTGCTTGACGGAAGTGCTCGTTTATTAGTATCAAAAGTAGAAAAACCTTAAGATTGAATATTAGTTCGTGTAGCATCCCGATCATGGTGAAGTCACTAATGAAATTCCTCCACCCAAAAGCCAAAAGCAGTTGTTCACAGGACTCAGAGAAATACTAGCTGCGCCTTCTCTCCATCCTCGATTCTATGAGCAGTTTTTGTTGGCATAGGGAATATTTTACACTGTTATTCTGTTCACTGTTCAAAAGTGTTCTTTACATGCTCTGTTAAATTTAGTTATGGGTTGTACCAAAGAACTAAAACATGAACACAGAATCATCCTGTTTTCTACATGCTGCTTGACAGAAGAGCTCATGTATTAATATTGAAATTAGAAAAAAACTTAAAGATTGAATCTTAGTTTTTGCTATAAATAATGGTTTTTTCTAGTCACGTTCTTCTTCTTTCATTTGTCTGAAAAGAAGTAATGATTTCTCTTTCCCCAGAAATGATGACTTTCTGAGACTGCTTAAAGAAGATGATTTTTGAAACTAGCCATCTAATTTGGCAATCTTGTTTGTTTGGTCACTGTATGATGATACCATTTTCTTTCATCATGGTTTTATATGCATGGAAACTTCCCAAAATTCTTGTGTAGAATTGGTTGAAGGGCAACGTAAAGTTATCCTCCTTAAATGCTGAAGAGATATGGCCAGCAAAATTTCTTGAAAATATCAAACTAATGTATTGGAACAAACGCGATATTGTTTAAGCTTCATATCTGTTTGGAAGGGAAATGATTTTGGAAGAAAAGCTTCATTAGTTGTCTTAAAATATTTTCCTTTAAGCTTCATGAATTGTCCTAAAGCATTCCTCTTTTTTGTGTTAAAGTTTGGAAAAAAGAAAAATAGTAGCCTGAAAGCTGTTCTAATCTTTGAGCTGGTACCAATATGTCTCTATGTAATAGCATAGTTTTGTTTTCCGATCTTGTTGCTTGGAACCTTTGAACTGAAACTTTCAATTAAGGTGGTTATTCTTTCCCCTGTTTCATGAGTTTTTTGGTGTTTAATTCATAGATGGATGATGCTGTTACATGCAATTGGCTGATAAATGATTTAATATCTTAGGCAATACCTTTTCATTTGGGTGTGCAACTCTGCTTTGTCTGAAGTAGTTTCCTCCAACCACTTAGATGAATGCTTTTGCTTCTTAAAAAGTGTTTTTTTTTTTTTTTCTGGTTTGATGGTGTTACATTTTGTGCAATTTTTGTCTTTAGGTACATGAAATGGCAATGGTATCAGCCATTCAGGAAGCTCAGAAGGATAACGTAAGAAGTTTTAATGATTACATGATGAAAGTTTTGGAGGTTAGTGCCATACAGCATGTATTTGAAATGTTGGTATAATTTTGTTTATTGCCAATATATATAAGCTGCTAAAGCAATCACAGTTTCAACTTCTTAGTAACAATATTTTATATGGTAAAGTGACTTTAAGTCCCTATACTTTCCCTATACTTTTCCTAGTGTTTTACTTACTCTTGAAGTTTTCTTGAATTTGCAATTTTACCCATATATAATAGCTTGCTGGAATGCAAGCTGATCCACACAAAATATGGGATTGAACGTGGAATATACTAGTCATTTGACTCAAGCTTTGCCGTGGGTTGAATAATTTCTTTTGGCACAAAAAAAATATATGCAAGCTTTTCAAATGTGTTTTTTTTTTGTTAAAAAAATTATAAATAAAAAATCATGTGCATGCATTTAATTAAATACATTGAGAAGTATTTGTGCCAATAAATGCAAAAAATAAAGTGTCAACACTTCATTTAACTTGTCTCGCTGTAGGTCGAATAATATTTTTTATAATGCAAAAGAATTAACATATAGGTGTTATCACTGCATTTTTTAACATCGAGAAAAAAATATAATCGTGAATGAAAATGTCAATACTAACATATAATAAAATATAGTTAAAATCATATGCGTTAATAAAAAAAATATAAGATCTCAAATTAATTTTTAAGGTGGCAGAAATATGGAATAATGTTGCAATTGCTATGGTGAAACACCATTTCCTTAGTCTTTATATAATAATTTTTCAAAAAAAAAAAAAAGGTGTAGAAAACATTACAAAAGAATAAAAATAAGAAAAAAAAAGTATCAATAGGTCAAGTGTACAGTGATAAATATTCAAAGTGTAAAAAATAAAAATAAATAAATTTTGTTCAAAAAAAATGTAAAGGAAAAACTTGTTTTCTTTAATTAAAAAAAACCCTGAAAATTACAATTTTGCCACCGCTACAGTAGAAAATTTGGCAAAATTTACAATTATGCCATTTCTACAGGAAAACACCATTTCCTTTTAGTATATGTATAATAATTCAATGCATCTTGGTATTGGTACCCACTAAATTTTCATCCAACCCTGCTACCTACTCAAATGGACAGGACCCTAGTAAAACAAACTATAGGTGTTGCTGTGCAACCTTTTGAACTTTAAGGAGTGAAGTGGACCATTGTATAAATTAAACTAGTAATATACACTTTGACCTTAACCTTGTCAGTGGCAAAAAAATGTCATAGTATTTTACTTTTGAGCAATTATATTTTAAGAAGTTAAAAAATAATGTCATAACTAACTTGGTTGTTTGTAGATTTATAAAAATGTAAAACTCACTACCACTGATACATGAAGGGTTCTATGGTGGTAAGAGATAGACAGGGATTTGAGTGGATGTGATTGCCTATTAGAGTGCTAGTGAG